CTCTGATCTTCACCGTGAACATCACTTCCCGGCTCCAATATGGATCCCTCAGCTTGGTGGTGGAAATCCTTCATCTAACCAGCACAGGTTTTCTGGCTTCCATGAATAGCCTTTGGACCCACCAGCTGCAGATCCTCAATACAGACAAGCATGAGGCTCTAGGCCACTGGCTGGACTCGTGGAGGACATTGCCTTGGACTCTAAGCCTTTAGTTGGACTTACATGGAAAACTGCTGGGATCCAGGCCCTCAGCTGGATCCTTTGGGCCTCTAGTGAGTGTGTGGTTAATATCTCTTGCACTCCTTTGCATCTGACTTTTTGGGTAATTATTATAAAAGTAATCTTATAAATTATGTGTCCTGTATTTAATGTATTCCCTTGCCAAAACCCTGACTACAAAAGTGTCTGTTAATATTTGTTTTATATAGTTGGATGCACTGGTAATTTGTGTGTATATATTTAAGAGTGTTATCTCTTCCTCTTGGATTGTTCCCTTAACAAGGAGGTAGTGATCTTCTTTGTCTCTCTTCATCAGTCTTGGCTTGAAATCCACTTTTACTGCATATAGAATAGCTACCCCTGTTTTTTTTTTTCCAGGTTTCTGCCTCATGGAGTAATGTTTTCCATTCTTTGATTTTTCAGTCTGTGAATTTCTTTTTGAGTTAAATGTGTTTCTTGTATCCAGCTTATTGTTGGATTTTATTTCTTGATTCATTCTGCTAGTCTGTTTCTTTTGATTGGTGAATTGAGACCATTTACATTGATGATTATAACATATATATATATATATATTAACTTATCCTTGTCATATTATTTTCCTGTTGTTGATTCCCTTTCTTTCCTTTCTATTTAATTACTTGCCTTACCTGGTGAATTAATTCTGTTGGGCTACATAGAGTTGCAGTCCTTGTTTTCTCTTTCTAGAATGTCTTTCAGAAATTTTTGTAGTGCTGCTTTGGTGCTCATGAATTTCTTGCTGTGTTCCTTCTCATGGAAGTACCTATTTCTCCATTGATTTTTAAAAGATAGTTTTTTGGGGTGCATCACTCTTAGTTGGAGATTGTTTTCTTTTAGGGCTTGAAATACTTCACTCTAAGCTCGCCTTGACTTAAGGGTTTGTGTTGAGAAATCTGCTGTGATTCTGATGGGCATTCTTTTATAGGTGATTTGTTTATTTTCTCTAACAGCTTTTAATATTTTGTTCTTGTGCTGAATTTCTGGAATCTTGACTGTTATATGCCTTGATGTAAATTTTTTATCATGGCTAATTGGAGTTCTATATGCCTCATTTGTATGTATGTCAAATTCTTTTTCCATGCTTGGGAAGTTTTCTGCTATTACTTCTGTGGACATGTTTTTTATGTCATTCATGCTGTCTTCTGATTTTTCATTGACTCCGATCAATCTGTTGTAATTTTTGTTTGCATCATCTAGCAACTTATGGATCAATTTTTTGTGTCCCTTGCTATTTTTAAGAAATCTTTCTTTTCATAATCACTAACTGCAATTCTGAGGGCTGGGGATTTAGCTCAGGGTTTTGCCACCTGCCTCACAAGTGCAAGGACCAGAGTTTGATCCCCAGTACCAAAACAAACAAACAACAACAACAAAAAAACCTAACTGCAATTCTGTCCTCACATTGGTTTGTTCTGCTGTGTATACTTTCAATAGAATTTTTAATCTTCTGAATATCTGTTTGAATCTGGTTCATGGATTCCATTTCTTTCCTATATTGGGCATTCATGGTTTCCATTATTTTGCTAATCTTCTCTTTTTTAAAAATTTGTATCTGCTCTGGATGCACCTACCATTTTATTCATTAGGGTTACCATCTCTGTAGTTATGAGAAATTATTTCTGATTTGATTTTTTTTTTCTAGAGCCTCATTCATCTGCTTTGTTACTGTTACCATTACCACTTCAGAGTCCAGGTGGGGCCTTCAAATTTTTCCACCTCATTGCCCCTGAGTTTGGCTTTGGTGAGCTGGAAATCTGGGGTTGCATGTTGCTTTCTTGTCTTCTCATTTTCTTTTTTTTTTAAGTTAATTTTTTTGTTGATGCTTGTAAATTGCTTATAGTAGGTAGCTTTATTGTTAGTATTGAGAACGCTTAGGAAATGACTACTTCTCAGAGATATCTTCCAGGTGTAGCTGGTTTTTGGGTTTTGAGTCTGTTGTGAAATCTTGCCTCCTCAATTTATTGGGGATTAAAAGTTGCTGTCTAGGGCTGGGGATTTAGCTCAGTGGTTCTGGCACCTGCTGTGTAAGCACAAGGTCCCGAGTTCGATCCCCGGTACCAAAAAAAAAAAGTTGCTGTCTAATTGGCCTACCCTCTGGTTCTTTGGCTGTGGCCTATAGTATTATGATCCTCAGGCAATCTCAGTCTTTGCATACAAGGAGGAACAACTGACTAGCATAATTATGTCATCTTGGCTAAAGTAGTACAATCAGTAATAACAATAACAACATTGAGCACAGCCTCAAAAGTGAAACTGTGGTAACTATTAATTTGCCATGTTTAACTATATGAACAAGTTTTTTAGTTATATAACAAAATCTAAAACAGAACAGAATGTTGTGTACAGTAAATATCCCCTCAATATGGCAATTTTACCATTAGGGGAGAAAAATTTAAAATGTTAGAGGAAAAGTAGAGAATTAGAAGAAGAGAAAGAGAATTAGAAGCAATGCCGCAGGACAAAGGAAGATTACACAAGCTTTGGGAAACTGATGAAGAAGACAGGAGGGATAGAAGGAAGGAAGAAACAAATAAGAACAGAACAAAACAACAAAAAACTAGAGACAATTTTCACACTCATATAAAAACAAGAATAAACAATGAAGATAGAAGGAAAAAAACAAAGGAAGAAAAGAAAAGAAAAAAAAACACATTCACTTCTGGGCATGCCTCTGCTGTCAATGTTAGACAGAGGAGGCAGACAGAGCCCAGATCTATGGTGATTTATCCCAGCAAGCCAGCAATAGAATTACAGTGGGGTAGTGGATAATTCCAGCAAATCTGTGTCTTTAGTTTCACTGAAGTTCAGGGTGCTTTTGGTTTCTGGCTGTAAGGCTGAGACCCTAGTTGTTCAGCATGCAACACTCCAGGTGTATCCTCCTGGCTTGAACTCAGCTTCCTGATGGCTTGCATTCAGCTTCCTGCCTTTTTGAATTTGACTCCCTGACTTCCTCCCAGCTTGAACTCAGCTCCTTGCCTCCTTGAATTTGGTTCCCTGACCACCTGCTGGCTTGAACTTCGCTGTGCCTCACCCTGACACTGTGAACTGCTAGATGGAGCCAACCCATGGCTGCTCTGAGTTCAATTGGCCCCTTTCCAAAATGGTGACCAGCCAATCATCCTCTCCTGGGGGACATTGGAACCTAAATACTTCTCCAGCCACTGCAGTCTGTAGCATCCACTGCTCTGTTCCACTAATGCATTTCTCTGTGGAGGCCTCTGGGGTAGCCAGTAATCACCATGCATCTTCAGATTTGAGCTGCCCCTTCTATGTTGTGAGCCAGTGGTCAGGGAGAAAGTGCCATTTGCCACCTCGTTCTTCAGTATTGAGGTCCCTCTCTTCATTCTCCCTCCGGGCTCTAATTCTCATTTCAGATCCTTGCTGGGTCCCAGGGACCCATTTCTCTCCTTTTTCTCTTCCTCATGTTGCTATATTCCAGCATCTGGACCTCAAATTTTGGAGAGGCTATTTCTCTGCTGTTCACCACTCTGCCATCTTCCCAGAAGTCTCAAGTTTGCTCAAATCCCATTCTAAAAGACAAAACTAGGCTCTGGGTCCACAAGCCCATAATCAAAGCATAATGTATATTATACCCAAAGTGATCACAACAATTCCTCTCATTTGCAATGTGACTTTGATGCCTTTCTTATTAATCACAATATTTTCCCTGTCCTTGAAGCTGGGCTGGCCCTGTGATTGGCTTTTACAAACAGAATGCAAGAGAAGTAATGTGATAGAGTTTCTGAGTCTGAGCCTGAAAAGGTCTCAGTAGCTTCCACTTTTTTCCTTTTGGGAGCGTTATCTGCCAGAAAGAGATGTCTCATGGAGAAATGAGACATACCACTGAAGAACCAGAGCTAAGACCCCCGAAATTTTAGTGGGTTTATCTTGGAGTTTTGCCCTCAGTTGTGCTGTTCCGGCTGACACCATGATGTAGCAGAGATGCCTCCTGAGTCCTGCCTGAATTTCTGAGCCACAACATGATAAGCAAATAAATAATTTTGTCACTATGTTTGGGGGCTATTTGTTATAATGAAAACATTATTTAACCTCCAGGTCAGAGATTTTTATTTGCTTCACTTAGCTTATACATGACATTCAAGGGAAATAATAGAACTAATAGAAATTGTAAGTCATCTGAGCAATTTTAAATTTGGATTTTCTTATTGTTCAACTTACTTGAAAGGTGAGAAAAGTTAGTAGCAAAGTACTTTCTAAAAATATTTTGTTTAAATTGTCAGAAGAAAGATGGCAGAGTAGAGACTGGCAGCAAAGTGCAGCCTCTCCAGGACCTGAATTCAAGATACCTGAAAGACAATTTGGTGAAGAAAAGATGAATGTCTGGGAATTGGAGAAGAGGTGACAGGAAGATTACAAACTTCAGGGAAGCTGCAAAGATGGAGCATAGCACAGATAAAGGAATGAGGCAACCAGGGAGAAGTACCTGTCTCCATTGATATATAGAGTAAGTCTACTGTGTTGGCAGCTGGAAGATACAGCAGACTAGGCCAACAGCACTGGGCCCCAAGAGAAGCCCACAGCTATTATAATCTACAAACACAGTATGGTGTGACTCCTTTGCAAGGCAGGCTGGAGTTGGAGAGGAAGTCCAGTGCAGGACCCACCATACCTGAAAGGGTTTAATTAGGAGCCATTTTGAGAAGGAGTTAACTGTGTACAATGAGCTGCAGAGCAGCTATTCCCAGGGTTTCTGGTGTCAGTCTATCACAGGACTTAGTTGGAGATGACCACAGGAAATAGTCATGGAGCAGGAGCAGATTGGACATAGACCCCCTGAGAAATTTAAGTTTGGCTGGGAGAGAAGTGGGGGCTTTGCCCTCTGTGTTGAGAAACCAATCAGGTATGTGTGACTTACAGAGATGGTTAGGTCTGAAAATGCTGACATTAAGTTTGGTGGTCTGCTTGAACCCCCTCCCTGCTGCTTACATCAGGCACAGAGACCAGTGGTCTATTTGCTTTCCTCATGAACCAACATGAACAAAACACACCTTGGCTTGGACAATTGCTATGGCCTGAGGGGATTGGACAGAGGGGCATCTAGAGTGGGGTGGGGGGCATCTAACAAACTGACAGTCTATAGAGCGAGGCAGAAAAACTGTGGCATGGGGTGCACAGAGGTGTATGGAAAATAGGAGCTGCTGGAGTGATTACAGACAGGGTGGAAACAACTGGTCACCCATGCCCAGAAGGAAAAGCAAGGAAGGATCCAGGGTTCACACAGAAAAATGTGAGTGTGGAAAAAAAATAGTTCTTAGCAGTGACTCATTATTCATCCTCCATATTAGCTAGATTCCAAGACTACAGAGATTAGAAAGAAAAGATCCATTCAAAAACACAGAGGATTTTAGGGTGAGGGGGCTTGTTTCTTTTTCTCTTTTTAATTTTTCTTTTTTTCCTGTTTTTCTTCTTTTTCTTATTTGTTCTTT